CACGACCCGAAAATGTGTTTTGGGCTTATTTCCAGAGGAGAACTAGCGCCTGGGTTTGTGCTGCCTGCCCAGAGGCAGTTAAATCTTCTTTTCAGGGACACACACACAACACACATACACACACACCACACACACACCACACACACACACACAGCACAACTGGGGGCACAAGCGTGCGGGTGGGAGCAGGTCCTGCACGTTCCACTGGTGCCCAGCTCCTGTTACCAGCACCACAAGACCTGGCCATCCAGGCTTGTCTCCTTCAAAAGCACTTTATAAGCCTCTGTGTTTTGGCTTTTAAACTACAGCTCACAGAGGGGGCTTCACCCCCCCAGGACAGCCTGTGTGGGAAAGGAGGAAAGATCTCACTCCGGGATAAATCCACCGTGTGAGAGCAGGGGGAGTGACAGGGGGGGACAACTTCCACGTCCTTTTTCCTTGCATAAGGACATCTGTTCTCAGCTGCTTCTTTCTCTGCTACCAGTGCACCAGCATGGCAGAGGTAAATATTTTCTGTTCTGCTCTGCCACTAGAAAATCAATTAAATTCTCTCTAGAACACATCTGTACATTCAAAGAATACCTGCTGCACATCAGTGTCCTTCATACCTTTGTTTTGCTGCAAGCTTTCTGCCTTAGCTAATGTTCTATCACCAAGTGTTGCACATGTCCACACTGCCCAAAACAATTATGGGATGTACCTGTTCAGGCTTGAGAGCTTCTAGCAGCTTCTAGGTGGAGGAGGATAAAAAAAATGCCAAGGGCTTGGCCAAATGTATGGACAAACCATGTGATCGGGACCAGGCATCCAGGGCTAACTTTTAATCTGCTTTGTTTCAAGTGGGAAATATGTGAAGATCAAATAAGTTCAAATCCAGGTCAAATATCCTTGAAAATCTTTGATTTATATAAGCAGGAAAATGAGGTTTAAAAGAAGTGATTATGAAAGGGTTACTAAAAACACAGCTGTACGCGTACTCTTATATCTAAGGCTCTCCAAAGAAAAACTGTGTGACATCTATATTAACCTTTGGCTGTACACCAATGAAGGCCTGTAGTGAGCTGGAATGCAAGGCAGCCCCTTCCAAATTTTAACACAAGCCAGGTTACAGCTGCAAATGCCTGCAGCCCGTGCTCACTTTATAAAGTATTCCCCGAAGGAAATTTTTTAACTGTTATAGAATCTTTTTCTAATACCCTACAGTGTTAAAGCCTGTTATTAAAGGGCAAGGAGATGGTTCTCTATGCCAAACACTTGTCAACAAAAAGGATAGCCAGATGGTATGAAATAAAAGGAAACTTGGGGGCTCTTCAGCTTCTTGATTTATATTAACAAAAGCCACTTTCAAGTGCTCCTTCCAAGAATGACTAATTTCCCCCCCACTTCTTTTTTGCCAGGATTAAACAATGTTGTTCATTTTATAATCAACCACGAGAGAAATTAACAAATTGCATATCACTTGTGCCGACTCTTTTAAAAATATTCTAAGCAACTCTGTTTACCAAGGCAAGATTACCGTCATAAGGACAACTCAATTATTTTTAGAAGAGTAGGTCTAAGTCATCGAGAGGATGTTTACTCCTTAGTTGCTGTTTATAAACTTCAAATTAAACTTGTGCAAAAAAATGCTTTGCGTTTTTTCAGTTCCTAAAATGGTTCAGTTTGTAAACTATACTTGGACAGAAATGAAATTCCAAATACTGAAATTATAGTAATAAATTTTACAAAATTAGCCAGTAATTAACTGACTAACTTAGTCAGACCACTGCGGCTAAATTCTCTTTTAATTTACATGTAACTTCATTCTTGACAAAAATCCATTCCCCATTCATCTTAGCACAGGTGTAAGCTAAGGCAAAATGTAGCCTGTGAATTAACTAGTTATAAATCTAAATCTAATTAATTGTCAAGATTTTACAGTAACATTACATGCTTAGTAAAAAGCTCCCTGAAACGGAGCACCTGTATTCTGGTTCCTCCCTACAAATCCCCAGTATAAATTCTCTGGAATAAATATACACAGTATCTCCATAGAAATCAATGTGTGTGGGGTTTGTTGTTGGCTTTTTTACTATATATCCCAGTAAATCTTGCAATTTTTTTTTTTTTTAATATTTTTCCCTCTGAAATTGTGAAACTGGATAAATGAAGAATATGAACAAGGCAAAAAAAGTGCTTTTTGTAGATTAACGTTTAGAAGCCTGGAATTAACATGTTTTATTGAATGAAATTTAAAAGTATTATTTCTTTACTCACTTTTACTTCCTCCATTCTGAAATGAAACTTTATTATGCTGTGACACTTCCTCATTGTGATGGCTCTAGTATAGTAATAAAAGCCTACCTGTGAAATGCAATGCTCACAGAGTATCTCTTACAAAAGTAGGACACAGTTTACTACAGTCTGCATTTAGGAATTCAGCTCTGCTTTAAAAGGGATCATTGTAGAAAGTCTCCAGAAAAATTCAGTTCTACAATAGTTGTTCTAATTTTCCCTGAATGTCGCAGAAAACTGTACGTCTCAAAGCAGGTGTTGTGTTTGACTATATACGGGAGTGAGTGGCTGGTCTAATTCATTAAAACATCCATAAACAGGCCTGTCTTTGTCCTATAAAGATGAAAGAGAGATGACTATAATGGGATGAAAGGTGTGCACAGAGATGAAGAAAGCTATTACAGATCTATGTCCTTTTTAAACTCGTCCTGGCATGCACTGTTGACAAGGGAACAAAACAGCACAGATAAACCTCCGAAATGTGCCTTGCCGGTAGTAATTCCACCTGTCCTTAAAACTATTGGATTTTGCCTATGCTCTTACTACTCACTGACCATGCTGACAGCACCTAAATAAAATGATCATTTAGTGTTTTGCATCAAGAACACTCTTGGGTTTCTAAGCCGACTACAAAACCTGGCAGGTCGGAATGAATGAAATACCCGCTGCAGCCATCCCGTCACAACGGGATGTTGGCTATCAGTTTCTTACGGCTTATAAAGGTGAAACCTGCTCTGTAAAGAGTTCTCACGCAGACACGACATATCCAAAATGTAACTTTTATTTCACAGTTTATGGATCGATTCCACTCCTCTGTACTTGAAATAATTAGTGACCTGGGCTGACAGGGAGATTTTCCTTACATTGGAAGCATGGGACGAGAGCACTGCAGTTTCACTGATGAAAGTTAGGCAGTAGATAACTACACCTGAGGAGAAGAGCTGCTTCCCCAGGGTTAAACTCCCTTGCATTAGGTACTTACATGTTTCATAAATGTTCTCTCCTCTCTAACGAAAAAGAAAGAGAAGTGTGAATATTGCTAATGTTATTTCAGCATCCTTTGTCTTCTGTTCGAGACTCCCCTTGCACTCGGCTGTACACAGTGTAGGACCCAAGAACCACGGAGAATAGTGTTAGCAAGATCTCTCTTATCTCTTAAGTCAAATATTTAACTGCCATTGGTACTTTTGAGTGCTCAAATATTTGATTTTAAATGTATCATGCTCATCGGCTTAAGGATCCAGCACCGACTAGACAAACACTGTAATTCCAAATGGAAAGCACCAGCTCTCATAGAGCACAGCCCCCGGGCCAGATGTAATTCCAAGCTTCCCACTGTGAAGCTTATGGCAGTTAATAAGGAGGTGCAGCTCATGCAAACTAGAGATCTCCCACAGCGTCCTGTGTCTCCTTATCATGCACGAATTGTGCCGGGATGGCTACCGTGTCTAATAATTATTAACGTGTGTCACAGAGCCTTTACAGCTGCTGATCTTTTCAAGTTGGTTAAAGTGCTGGGATTAGAGAGGTGGTGATTTAGGTGGTGATTTAATCTTTGTTCCCTCTGAAGTTCCAGACGGTGGAAGTGTCCAGAACAGTGACATCCATAAAGGTGTCAATGGATTTATTGGAGATGGGGGTCTGCAATCCCTAGTAGGTTATGTGCCAGAGGTGGGCTCTTCTTGTGCTTTGTGTCTCCCTTTGTTTGGGACAAAGTTTGAGTGGATCTTGTTTTGGAAATACAATTCAGGTTCTGCCTTGCACTTGCAGACACCCAATCTGTACGTGTGTGGTTTAAGAGCCGCACATGATGAGGTCTAAAAATGGATAGAGTGAACCAGGTCTATAATTATGTATTTAAAACAGAACGCGCACCCTGACAATGTTTTACTCAAATCCGGCCAAGTCAGTCCACACGGGTGTGCAATCTGCAGCGAGCAAATGGAAATCAGATTGGGCCGTGGCATCCAATTAGAGAGGCCTAGCGAGGCGCATACAAAGCGTGCCAACTCTCTATCGCTTGCATAAACCCATCCACATGTGCTTGTGAAAAGAGGCGAGTTAGCGGCATAAACTGGGGTCAACAGGAAAAGCTGCAGGAGTAAATAAGGATTTACTGTGGAATCCCTCCCAAGCCATTAGGAAAACATGTGCGAGCAGCTCAGCCCCTCCGGCCGCGGGAGCGCGGCGCTGGGATGCCGCAGGGAACTCTCCGTCCGGCCAGCCCTGGTGGCTCTGCGTCCAGCCCGGCACTGGGAGCCGTGCAGGACCCGTGGTCCTGCCTCGGTTTCGTGTATTCCTTGGCAGTGTGGGATGTGGAACAGACCTGCTGATCGTCCTGTCTAGCTCCTACCTGCAAATCCAATTTCTGAAGTGCAGCAACTATTAAAGGGAGACCTTTAAGTGTGTCGGCGCGCAGGGTGGAGCGTGGAGAAAGCTTGTGGCTGTCCAAATGCTGTGATGGGAAGTCTGAGCCCTCTCCACGTTGGTGCCATTTAACTACTACCTGGCAAAGGAGCCGCTTTTTCGAGGGCCGCTACCTGTCCTTCCTTTGCCCAGGTGGGCTGCCACCCTCCTGACCCTCTGGGAAACAGCTCCCAAGCGCGGCCACCTGCACCACCAGCCCCTGTCCTCCCGCTGGTGGTCAGGAGGCCGCTCCAGCCTCCCCTCGGCACGGTTCCCTGCCCTGTTGCCCCGGACCCAGCCCCGCCGAGCCCGGCACTCACCCAAGTTGACGAAGCTCATGACCATGTCAGCCTCGGTGAGGAAGTTGCTGTCCTGCAGGCTGGCCAGGGGCGGCCCCTGGGTGCTGAAGATGGGCTTGTAGGGATAGGAGAAGCCCTCGCCGTCCTCGGCGGCGGCCCCCGCCGCCCCCTCCTCCACGGACATGGCATTGTAGAGGTCCAGCATGAACATGGGGGCCGAGTTGTGCTTGCCGTGGAGGTGGGGCCGCGGGCGGTGCGGCAGGCCGAGGATGGAGAGGATCTCCCGCTGCATCTCGCGGCGCTCGGGGCCGCGCAGCCGCCGGTGGATGAAGCTGGAGTGCACCTCGTTGTCCACCGTGAAGTCGGCGAGGACGCAGCGCAGCCAGAGAGCGGGGGCGGCGGCGCCCAGCACCAGCAGCCAGGGGCTGGGCTGCCCGCGCCCCGCCGCCGGCATCGCGGCTCGGCGGGGGCTGCCCCGCCGCGGGACGCGCCCCGCCGGCATGCACGGCACGGCCCGGCACGGCACGGCCCCCGCTCAGCCCCCGCGGAGGCGCCGCTGCCCGCTCATGGCCCGAGGCGGCGGCGGCGGCGGCGGCGGGGGGCTCCTATCGGCCCCGGCCCATGGACCCTTCCCCGGGAGCTCTCGTCCGGCAGCGGGAGCGGCCGCGCTGTGCCCGCGTCCCGCACGCCGCGAAGGAGCCGTGTGAGCGGCGCGGCCCGGCGGGGAGCGGCGGGAGGGTGTCTCTGGTGGGAGGAGCAGGCACTGGAAAACCCAAGCGCTCGCTCGCTCGCTCGCTCGCCAGCTCCTAAACCGCCCGGGAGAGAAAAATCCCTGGAACTGCCTCGAGGAGGGACGTCTGCTCAGGTTGCTTTTCAGGATGTGTGTGGAGGCTGCGGGCTCCGTGAGAGGCTGAGCCGGTCCCGAGCGTCTAAATGAGCGTGAACGTCATTAAGGAGAAGACACCCCAGGAGGGAGGGCAGTTTATGCATAAGGAAGGGGCCCAAACTCCCACAGAGTTTATAGATGCGAGTACATCGTCTGTCTGCACAAACACGCATACACACTCTTTTCCCCCTTCTACTAGTTTTTTTTTTTTTAAAGAAGTACAGATGAGGAGAGGCTGTCCAGAACGAAACCAAGAGCACTAAATTATTTAAAACGTGATGATTATATATTCACGCACGTAGACATGTATGTATGTCTGTGTGCACAGAGCCCCGGGTCACTTTTTCCAGCTGGCAACGGGGAGAGTTAATGGAGAAGCGTTAGAAATCCGAGGGATGAAATGAATTGAAACCATCAACCTGTGCACGCGGGTGGTTTATGGCACTACAGTACCCTGCACTCTCTCGTTCCCTTTTTCCTCCTGCTCCCTGGTACACACTTTTGTGGGATACCATCCTGAGCTGAATTGTTACCTTCTCAAAGCAGTGGCTTTTTTAACTCAGTGGATGCAACATCTGCAGTAATGGAGCCCCAGTCCTGATTAGCCCAGGTACACGTCTGCTACAACAGTAAATAATAATAATAACAACAACAATATCAAATGTAGACTACTGCTTCCCAAATCTTACTTGGAAAACAAGGAGAAGGCAGGATAGTTTATTTGGGTCATTGAATCCACCCTGAAGTAATTTCAGAAACCACATATATATATATACATATATATGTATACACACACATACACACACACACTAAGTTTATGCTGATATTAAGATTCATTTCTAAGGCAAAGGAGGAAGAAGTGGAGCAGAGGATAAAAGAGTTCAGCAGTTTTGGAGGTGTTTTTTTGATAGATTATTCATCTGATATTTTCAGACTATCAATATTCAGTAGTATCCAGCACCAGATCTTGCAACTGTTCTGGAAACTAATGCTCAGCACTTTTTTTAGCGCTTTATGTTTAAAATCCTTGCGTGAACTGCAGATAACTAGTCAAAAAGCTGCATGGGAAACACGATGAATGATTTAATGTGTTTGTATACATGCATGTGCACCTTGTAATAATAGGGAAACTGAGGCATCACATCAAAATGACTCATGGCACTATTGAAATAGTGGTGGAACCAGCACTGAAGTCCTGGCTCAGTCCTAACACATATTTAGAAATGGCTCAAGCTCTCGGAGGATGATGGGGGGAGAGGGGTTGTGAAACCACATCCACCTTAGGTAACATGGGAGCACTTGCTCAACTTACTGGTGCAAATGGGGCTGCTCAAAATATTACCCCTGTAACTGCTGTCCCAGTGCTCCCCACTAATGGAAACACCAGTACCTGAGCAGCTGCATTTTAGCTGCCCAGTTAAGATCAAACTCTCCAGCATCTTTTGTACTTCCTGAGAAGCAGCACTAACCTGCTCTTAACGAGGCATGTATTTGCCTAAATTTCTTTCTTGGTGAGGGTGTGGTTTCTCAATCAATTTAAGCTGATTTAAAGCCAGGCTCCCCCTGAGAAAGACCTTTTTTTTTCTCATCCCACCCTAGCCTGGACCTTCAGCTGTGCAACCCCACCTCTCTCCAGTGCTGGTACCAATACTTACACACAGGTCAGGAAGCTTATTTTGTTTTTAAAGTATTTTTTTAACCATTTATGTATTTGTTTTTGCTGTATTAATTTTCTGCTGGATCAGCTCCTTGTTCTGACTGACTACCTATTGTGGTGGAACTAAGGAGGCCACAGGAATGCACAGCTGGGGGCAAGGAGAGGGTGTCTGGGTCAGGCTGCAGTAGGAAGGGCTGACAGATGATTTGGTGTCCCTCTGCTCTCCCTTTCAGCTGCAGACAACTTGATTTCTCTTTCTTTTTTTGTTCCTTGTAGACTGTTTTTCCAGAACTGTGAGTGTTGGCCTTTCATCAAGCAGCAGTAGGACAAGGAGCCTTGCCTTTGGCTTGGACTTTGAGATTAAAAGATCTGTAAGGCTGGAACAGTGGAGTGGAGAGCAGGTGTCTCTGCTGCCTAAATTACTTGCACCTGAATTACTTGTAGCTCCCTTTCAAAAGCTGGCTAAACTTCAGGTCAGTGTTATGCTTTGGAATGGCAACACGCTTTGAGAGAAAGAAAAGAAAAAGCGTGGGAGGTTTGGCTGCTGGCTTGCTAACACCTTAGGTAGCTGCTGTTGGAGCTCTAGGTGTCATTAAAGAAACAGCAGAGGATAAAAAGTAAACCTTGAAACCTCCTGATTTGACAAATTTCTTGAAAAAGTGATGTTTGAATCTGTTTCGTTCTTGTTCTGTCTGTTTAAATGGTCTGGGTTTGGCCACATTCAGCTACATCCTGATTTAATGCAGGATATGCTCATTAAAGAGGGGCAATGCTGAAATTGTATCCTAGGCTTTCATAGGAATAGTTGGGAAAGTTTTCTCTTTTATACAATACTTTCACTGATTGTGTTGCACTGATAGAGCATTAAATAAGTCTATGATAGTTTGAAATAGGGGTACTGCCTGCATGTATTCTTAAAGCAGCAGAACAAAATCACTCTAGCAGTGTGTGATGAGAAAGTGAATTTGTTAAAGAATAACTTTTTGATGTTAAGTCCTCAGCTCTTGGCTTTAGCTTGATTTGGGATACAACAAAGGGCAGCATTTATTCTGCTGGATACAATAAAGGATGATACAGCTCAAACTGCAGTGGTTCAGCCCTCAGATCTGAGCTTGAATTTCAAATATCTTTCAAACAGAAAGGCAATCCAGTTTGTACCTTTTCTCATGGACAACATCTCTCCCTTCTCTCCTTTCTTGCCTGCTGTGTAAACCTCATCCTGCTTCCTGTAGGATCAGTTCCACACAGGGTGCTGAAATATTGGCACCTTCATGTCACTGTCTTTTTCCTCCTCCTTCCTGAATCAATTAAGAAACCAGTTTTTCCTCTTACTCTTCTCTGCTTCTTTTGTCTATTCTCCTCTTCTTGAGAAGGAAAACTAAATGCTTGCGATGAAGTAATCCCTGTTTGTTGGCACTTGCTGCTCCAGATAATTTCTATAAAAACAAACTCACAATGTTTCTGAGGTTCTGCACAAGCCACATTACCAATTGAGTAACTTTTTGATCTCTTTGAGCTTTATATGTACAGTCTTATCTGATTTTTGTAGCAAGTACTGCCGTTTGTGTGGAAGTCGGTGTATTTGCAGGCACGTATTTAGGAGATAAATAAAGGGTCTTATTTAAAACCATGAAATGGACAACAATGTGCAGGTCATCGTCCTGTGCCCATACAAGGTGTGTGCCAGTGGCAAAATTTGGCCATTTGCATTCAATTTTACCAAATGGGCAGTAAAAAGTGTGGGTTCTGCTCACAGACTCATTTAATGACTTTTCAAAAATCAGACACAAAGCATTTTTTCCTCTTTTCTGTGGAATCAGTGTCAAGCTCCTTGTCTTCCTACTTTGATGTCCTCTTTTTAACTTTAACCATGTTTCTTTTCCCCTCTGTTTTGCATCTTCTCTCATTTGTCTTGAACAAAGTGCAGGTCCTAAATTATGGCAAACTTTTTTCTCCTTCCAAATAATCCCACTAAAATAACATGTGTTTGGGGAATTTTAAACTGTTTCTCTGTGCCCTGAGCACGAAAAACACTTATATAGCAAAAATAATAGTATTATTATTTGTATAAGAATGGATAATTAGCTTGCATATTTAATTACGCTGTATTGGATCATTCTTATCAAAAGTTTCTATTCATCCCTTCAGCATTATTACTGAGAACATATTCACCAACAGGAAATTAATCTCATTATGGGTAAGCCATTATATTAGCTCTAAACCAGGAATCTGAACAGATTTGGGTTGAACGGTGCTGGGTTGGACAATACTGACTATGTTATAAAAATTTAGTATTGATTCTCATTGCTGTTGATCAGAGGAGAGTCGGAGATGAAATCTGTGTTTTGAGGTTTGAAAAAAGCGTTATTTCTTCTGGAGATGCTAGTGATAGCTAACATAGAAAATGATCTTTGGATTTATGAAATGGGACTGTAGCACTGAGTTTAATGTTCATCCACTGAGTAAGGTGGACAAAGTTCAGCCCTTCACAGTTCAGTATTTCAAAGGGCTTCACTTCATAAAACTGGATCTTCACAGGGGTTCTTTTATTATATTTATTTCAGGGAACATCAGAAATGAGTTCATGTCATTGAAACATTTGTATCATGCATCTGTTTACAGCTTGAATATAGGCCTATGCTGTATTTTATATTTTTATTTGTACGTTGGTGTGAGCATTTGTAAATGTGCACACACCAGTATACTTCAGTAATGTCTTCAAACTTTATGTAAGTAATATATTTCTGCAGCACAGATACAGCCACATGAGTATTGTTTAACGTGGAATCAAATATTGCCAAAGCAGCCCAAACAAAACTGAATTTAATTTTGTACTATTAAATTATTGCGTGCACACTCGATTTGGTTGACGTTTTTTGGCACAAACCCAGGCATTTCCTTCACTGGTAACGTTGTAATCTGAACATCTGAAATCTCAGGCTTATATTTGTGAAAAGCT